GCTCTGTTTTTCCTGCCTCGGGCACCTTAGAGAGCGCATGGAAAGTGAGGTTTTTGCTGCAGCACGCAGGCTCCCAACTGCACCGGGGCACCAGCACCAGGACCCTCCTACCTGCGTCAGCTGCTCCAGATCCAAAGCACCGGGGTGAGGAGACGCTGCTGGGGCCGGGGGGGCAGGTGGGGTACCCCGGTCCTGCGCCCCGACACGGAGGGAGGGATCTCTCCACAGCCTCAAGCTTTTCCTCGCAGCGAGCCCACCCCACGGCAGGACCGAGGGTCTGGTTTCTCCCCAAGAGTTGGCGGATCATTCCGAGAGAGGGGGAAGCGCCAGGTCCAGAACACAGGCAAAACCATTGTCGCCGAGACCAAGGATTTATTTACACGTCAAGGAAAACTCTCACCCAGAGTCAGGCAAGGAGGAGAAAACAAACCAACCCAAAGGAGCAAGGGATTTGCCTCCCCAACACAAACACTCGCGCTCCCCGGCGCGCCGGGCCACCGCCGAGGGCGGCCGAACGCCTTCTCTCCTCCTCCGCAGGGAGAAACGGAAGGCATGGCTTATCCCTCTTCGGTCGGTTGTTTCGTTTCACAGTTATCTGCACCACAGAAAACAATCTGAAAAGAAAACCCGCCTTTCCCAAGGGATCTGCCCGCACATGGGCGGACCGCGGAGCACCCCTCGCTCTGCCAGGGGGGAAGGTCCGAGGGGCAGCACAACTAATACTCGTCCAGGGTGTCCGCCCGCGGGACGCAGAGGCCCCGCTTCTTCAGCGCCTGCACTTTCAGCTTCTCCGACTCCTGCTTGGCCTGCTGCTCCACACGCTGCTCCTCCAGGATCTCCTCGATGGAGACCTGCTGCAGAGGCGTGTCACTCTCCTTTTCCAGGTCCTGCAAAGGAAACAGCCCGTTCAGCACCGGCCGGGGAGCCGTCACGGCCGGGACGCGCAGCTCTGCCCGTGGGATGCTGCGGGGCAACCTCACCTCTGCCAAGAGCTTCTCACCAGTCATAGAATCATGGAATGGTTTGGGTTGGAAGGGACCTTAAAGATCATCTAGTTCCAACCCCCCTGCCATGGGCAGGGACACCTTCTACTAGACCAGGTTGCTCAAAGCCTCATCCAGCCTGGCCTTGGACACTTCCAGGGATGGGGCATCCACAACATCTCTGGGCAACCTGTTCCAGCGCCTCACCACCCTCTCTGGGAAGAATTTCTTCCTGACATCTAATCTAAACCTCCCTGATTTCAATTTATACCCATTACCCCTTGTCCTATCACTACAGGCTCTTGTAAAAAGTCCTCTCCCAGTACCCTTGTAGCCCCTTCAGATACTGGAAAGCTGCAATGAGGTCTCCTCGGAGCCTCCTCTTCTCCAGGCTGAACAAGCCCAATTCTTGCAGCCTTTCGTCATAGCAGAGGTGCTCCAGCCCTCTGATCATCTCCGTGGCCTCCTCTGGACTCGCTCCAAGTGGTCAATATCCTTCTGATGTTGAGGGCTCCACAGCTGGACGCAGCACTCCAGGTGGGGTCTCACCAGAGCAGAGTACAGGGGCAGAATCCCCTCCCTCACCCTGCTGGCCACACTGCTCTGGATACAGCCCAGGATACGGTTGTATCAGGGCAGCGCCAGTCCGGGAGGGCCAAAGGGGTGCCATCCATCCTGATGGCAAGGGTCTGGGATGGATCTGCACTCACTGGGACACGGAGCCCTCTCCTGCGCTTGCTCCACGCTCCCGGGGAGAGCGGGCGTCGCTGCGCCCCGCACAACCCTTGCCAAAGGTGTTGGCGCAGGACGGCTCCCG